ACCTCCGCCTTGGCCGATCGAATAAATATCAAGCGAGAGAATGCATGGCCATCTGCCTACCTTTCTGTACAGGTACCTATCAAAAGCTATCTACTTACCTATCAAAAGCTTGAACCCAGGAAAGATGTTGATGAATCAAAAATTTATATATTTTTAGGAAGTAATTGACTGCTCTGGGGCTGGAACGTGTGTCGCGGGTGGCGAACCGGGTGGTGTCTACAAATACGCTCATGAACATGGAATTCCACACGAGACCTGCAATAATTATCAAGCCCGTGATGGACGTGAGTTGATGGATGGCATTCTATTTGGCACTTAACACCGATAAAATTATTAACTGCCAATCAAATTACCGTAATAACTGTCAAAGTATAGTTTGGTTTTCGGACCTTCATGGCCATCCAAGTTCGAGCAGTTGTCCATGAGCGAGAAGGAGTAGATTCTCTGGTTTTGAGCTCTTAACTGAGCTTCAGTTTTAATGTCATACGCCCATATCCTCTTCGGAATTTTCGCGGAGGTTCAAGACTCATGTTAGACAAAACTTTTGTCTCACGAACTAGACCCTGCTCGAAAACTTTTGTGAAATAAGAGGTTAAGTTGAGCCACAGCAGTCACAGGGGCACTATAGCGTAGCCTCTCTTTGGCGGATTGCGAGCTTCGTATGAGCCACAGTCGAATAGTTCTGCACCAACTAATCACACTTGCGTTAGACTTCTCATGGTCAGCTACGCCTCCATGTTTGTGCTACGGATGTTGTGCCCAGTACTTTTAGAACGCCAGACCTTTTCACAGACGGTAAGGATTACTAAGATAAGAAGGAAATCGAACAAACCATACAGGGTGCGCCATAAATATGGTGACAACCTTCCGGACGTCCATAATTTCCTTTCTTGTAGAGTTTCTCCAAATCTACATCTTCCCTTATGTTCATGATATACCTCAGACTACATATCTACTTTAGTGCTCCCAACTCGTCAGATTTCGAAAAGCGGTGGAGCCTCGCAGACATCCACCGGCTGTTCCGTTTTTGCGCGCAATTGAGTGAGTCCCTTCCCGGAATCGCTACTCGTTTCAACATTTTCCCCACTGACGGTATCTTGAATCGCAATGCGTAGACAGGTTGGAGCAAACCTCAAGACGATCGCTGCCTCATATACAACCCCTTTTTCGGATAAAATTACTTGGAAAGGAGTACGCTACAAAACCTAAAGAAATACGAGAAAAATGACTGCTGATTTGTTTATATACTCTATTCCGATTAGGAAAGTCTACCTCTAGTAAATACAATTGTATCCAAACAAGATTTTCTTTCTTGACGAGAAGAAGTTGGAGAGAAAAAACAAATGCCGTGCGCTACCTACGCGCGGCACGCGCTCCGACAAACCTTTTCTTGACTAGAGGGTATTCAGCGTGGAAGAAATGTTGAGACATCAAAGTATACATATGTTTCACACTTCGAGAGTCGAAGCCGCTGAGAAGAGTCAGACCGCCTCTCATAGCCATTCTCCCTCTTTGATTGAAGTTTTTGCCAGAAACTCTACCATCAGAGCGATATCGCAAATTTTGGTCGAAAAAAGTGCAAAATTTGATCCAAATCTTTTTTAGAAGGGTCCTTCTAAAAGGATGCGGTTGGAGTCGAAGATTTTTTCAGGGATACTTTTCAAAAACTACGGCACACGTGCTCACGAATGGGAAAAGACTAAAACTGGTGCTGGGGCAATGTTCGCGACTTTATCCTTGCTTCCAGTCCTCCTACAAAATTCCCGGACCACAATGTGGTGGGCCGCTGTATATAGTCCATACTGGAGAGGAAATCCTGCGCTACAAAATGCACCACTGTTGCTGCTTATAAGAAACCATTGAAAAAATCCCAGGCTGGAGTTTTTCAAGGAATTCTGCGTGCCGCCGTCAATGAATAGCCGCAGTATCTTTGAACTATAATTAGTACAGAAGACGGTTATATAATATGACTGTGTGTTCATTTTGTAGATGTGATGGATAGTAAATAATTCACATGAATTCACCATGTATCAATACGAACTGCGGTTTTTGTAGCCCAATTCTTTTGTTACCATATTTATGGCGCACCCTGTATTTACAGCCCTACTCTACGCTGGTTGAAAGAATCTCTTCAATCCATCCTCATTTCAGGATGCGACCCGTACAACCGATGCGGATCATGCTGGCCAGGAGACTGCTTCTCAATCAAAAACTATACTCTGTACAAGGTCAAGGAGTACGGTAAGGGATCTAGTAAAGTTATAGTAACCCCACACTTTAGAAAAAATTTCTTCAGCTCACATAGTTTATCACATGTAGACCTTCGCTTTGATTTTCCGAAGAGTAACAGTGCGTGAGACCTTTTGTAAGAAGAGAAGCCTACAAATTGCCTCTTTCTGGGAAAATATAGGAGTGGATTGTCGGGGAAGATTGCTAGCACAGAAATCGAACGCAGAAATCCTCGCACTTATTTGATTATGCATATCATGAAAGTACCGTATACTACTCGTCTGACTAAGTTTTCACTGGGTTCTCTAGAAAATAGAAAGTGTTTTGAAGACAGGAAGAAAGGATTACTCAGGAGAGAGTCTATTGGAAGTGCCATCATAGTAAAAGAGAGACAAAAGGGGAAAAGAAAAAGAAAGGATCAAGAGGATGTCTTGAAGTGGACGTGGTCAAAAGGCGCATTCCTGTAAATACAGTCGAAGCGAAACTGAGGGAAATCCATGTGACGAGATGCATCACCTGAACAATTATTCAGGTACGGTACGTGGAATCGATAAGATGAAGGCGGAAATCTACCATAATGGACCAATTGCATGCGGTATTGCAGCGACGAAAGCATTCGAAACTTATGAAGGAGGAATCTACAAGGTAGTCACTTCTACAGTACCCTACAACTCTTGCGTTTTCGCCGTTTTTGCATCTGAG